TAGCCTGTATCATTGTATCAGTCAGGTTCTCTAGAGGATCAGAACCCATGGAATGAATCTATAGTAAATGGGATTCATTAGATTGCTTATGCAACATGGTCTAGGGGTCCACTAATAGCTGTCTTCATAATAGAAATGCTGAGAACCCAGTAGCTGTTCTGTACATGAGGCCAGATACCTGAGCATGCCCAACCTGAAGTTGAAAGCCTAGAGGTTTTGGGGGCAGTCACTGGTCTTAAGTCCACATTGGAAGGCAATGAGACTAAGAGGAGAGCTTTTCTCTCAGACTCTCTTTTATTTGGGCTGCTATGTGAAAGGGCACCTATACTCAAATGGGTCCTCCTGCTTCAAATAGCCTGGTCAATCAAATGCCCCCCCAGGTGTACCCAGAAGCTTATCTCTTCCAGATACCATCAAATTGACAACCAAGATTATCAATCACAGTCCTCATGGAAGGGAAATCTGAACACAGAATGAAAGCTGTACAGGAGGATGCTGATGAATGAAGCAGGAAAAGCTCATGAAGGTGAAGGCAGAGAATGAGGTGATTCTCTACAGTCAACCACCACCGGACACAGCCAACAAATTAGCAGAAACCAGGAAACTGGTGTGTAATGGGGTCCCCTCTGGGATCTTTAGAAAGAACCTTAGCAGCCCTTGACTTCTGACTTCAAGCTCCATCCTGTTGCATAAATGATCTAATCTGGGGCCCTTTCTGTGACAGAACTAGCCAACTAACACAAGAAGTTTGCATTTTGGAAGCCCATCCTGATGACTGAAGCCCAGACCAATGTGTTCCAAAATGATACAAGAAGAGTCATGGAGGACTCCCCAAGAGTTCTGCATATCTTGTTTTTACAGATTGCAACCAAATTATTGTGTGAACAAAACTGTCTCATTTCATCTATTGTGCCTATCTTTTCCTTTAGTTTCTTTAACAAATTGATTAACAGTCCTTCAGTCTCCATCCATTCTTTTTGCCAACTGCTTATTTAAATCTTGATTTTTGATTCCTTCTTCTGCTTTTGTTTTTGGTGGTGGTAGCCTCTCTCTCTCTCTCTCCCTCTCTCTCTCTCTCCCTCTCTCTGTATGTGTATATATGTGCCTGTGTGTATGTGTGCATCTGTGTGTGTGTGTGTGTGTATGTATGCCTAGAAGCTGGTTCTTATATACAATGATACTCTACACAGGTTTGAATGAAACCCCTTCCTAGTGAGGTAGTGTGTTGCTCTGGTAGATTATCAAACACAAGCCTGGCAAGCCTTGCTTGGTAAAGTCTATTTCAGTCATGGCTCAACTTCTAAGGTGTACCCCTTAAACCTGACCCCATAAACATCTTTTCCCAGACCTCGTATAAATATCTGGAGATATTATCCAAAGTCTTATCTATAAACTAATGACAATATCATCTACTCTATGTCTATGGTAATTTTTATTGAACAGAAAGGTTTGCTTAAGCACAAGGAACCAATATATGTCTATTCCTTTGCCTTTCAAGTACCAATTTCTCCCAAACATAAATGTTAACCTTCTATAACCTTAAGCTTTCATATTTGTGACCCTAGAGTCTATTATGATTATGCTTTTAGTGACCAACATGTATTAGCATTACCTTGGAAGACCTAAGAAGATTCACCAGGATGTTCTTCAATTTCTGAAATATAAGACTCATAACACTTGCCTTGGAATAGGGCTATAAGAACATATGCAAAGCATCCCATAGTGTCTGGAACACGCCCTCTCTACCCACCCACCTCCTCCCCCCCCAAAAAAAAACAGAAGGTATACAAGACACTACTACTGAGTCAAACCTTCTGGATCTTTCTGCAGTCCCACAGGTTGCTCTGAATTCAGACTTAACTCCATATATCTCAGCATTATCATATTGTGACTGCAAGGACCTCAGCTCCCAGCTGGCCTCAAAGTGTTGAGAAACAACTGTGTCTAGACAAAGCTTTCTCCTAAAAACTCCACCAATGGAATGACATCATTCCATTCTTTCAATTGAAAAAAAAAAGGTAAGCTACATACAGGACAAGAGAGAAGGACACTTGGCCTCCCTCTCCGTACATGACACAGTCACTCAGGCATCTGCCTCTACTGTTGACCTCTGGAAAATGGAACTGAGAATCACCGGCTGGAGAGAGATATTCTTTGATCTCAGACCGATGTTGATATAAACAATCTCTACAAAGGAATAGTAAGCATGGCCTTTAAGAGGCTGCATTCACAGTGTGCTTTGAGTTTGATGCAAATGAAACTAAATCGTGTTGTTTTTCACCAAGATATGGGGCCAAATCACTATTTCAGAATATAAGCAAGTTTTGAGTTAGCTCTGAAAGACACAAACCAAAAAGTCTGAGATCCAACAGCTTAGCAGTTACCAAGCATCTAGTTTACGCTTAATTTTAGGGAATCAAAAATATAAATTAGACCCAATTTCAAGACTGTTCAAAAGAGTAAGGACAACAAAAATGTATAAGGTGCCAGCCACCAAATGACTACTTGACTGGGTGCTTCTCTCTCTCTTTCCTGTCACCCTGAAGAGCATGTGTGAATGTGTCTCACCATCTTGTCTTCCATGGTAGTTGTGTCTGGTGTGAAGCTGATACCATGGGAGCCCAAGGAAGAAGTGACCCTTGAGGACAAAATAAGTCAGATAGCTTGTGGAGCAGACAGAAGAGGCTATAAATATGAACATTTGTTTACAGCTGGACCGCATTATCTCTAAGAAACTCTTAAAGAGATTTTGTTTTGAATAAGTGTATCTCCATAAAGGGAAAATGTCACATGATTAAAGGTGCACATGGAGGCCAGAAAAGGGCACTGAATCCTCTGGAGCTGGAGTTATAGGTGGTTGTGAGCCACCCTGCATAGGTGCTAGGGGTGGAACTCTGGTCCTCCACAAGGGCAGTACGCATTAACCTCTGGGCCATCTCAAAGTGAGCCTTGACAGCTATGCCAACTGTTGCTTCAGTTTGGGGTCACTTTTCATTTCACCTTTGAGGCCAGACTTTCTGACCATCCCTGCTGCCATCAACAGGACCTTGTGACTTAAAAAAGTCACATGTACCCAGAGGATGGTTGGTGAAAAGGAATCTTTAGTTTACCTCAGGACTCTGTCACATGCACACCCTATGCATACAGCCATGCATAGATCAACCAAAATATTCAGGACCAATTTGATTGAAAAAGCTCACTCACTACAAACTCACAGAGCCCACTGCCCTAGCTCTTGGGATTTAGTGTTAGGTCCCTATACCCCAGCTTCCCCTTCACCATGTCAGTGAGGGATTGTTTGGGGAAGAGAAAAAAACCCACTCTTCTCAACTCCTGTCAGAACATTAGCATTTTTGGAAGAGATTCGTTCTTTTTAAGACTTGGAGTGAGTGAGAAGCTTTTAGAAAAGCTAAAAATATCTGTTAAACAAGAAGGGAACACCCGCCAGCCCGCTGTTCCTTCTGAGCAAAAGGCTCACCAGCCTGGGTGTGAAGTCCTCTGCTGGAACTCAAGGACCTTGAGGGAGAGGTGTCAGCTGTTCAACGGCTTAGGAACAAAGATAAAGGGAGGTGAAGTTGGAGGTAGAGATAACAGAAAGCCAGGAGTGGCTGCCACATCACAGCCTGCTAACAAGTTATGGAGCTCACCGTATGCGAATTCTTCCTGCTATAACCAAGAAGGCCAAGAAAAGAAAAGACTGAGACACTTGTCCAGAGTTACTACACAGAGGACTGCACCCAGGGGGAAGGAAGATCAGGCTACCCTTGCCTGTGTGGGTCTCACCATTATACTGGTGTCCTCACAGCCCTCAGAGTATTTAGGAAAAGAAGGGAAAGAAGTAGCCCTAAATCATGGTTCTGATCTTTTTTGCTTGAGTTTTTCAGGTAACCTGAATGGACCTACAGTCAAACTCTGACTTCCAGGGATCACAAACGCAGACACTTTCGACCACTTAAGGTCTTCCTCTGGCCTCAGCATGGTTACACATAGGCATGAGCAGTCTTGAATATGCACACACACACACACACACACACACCTACTTTCACAGATATGCCCTAAAACGATGTTTTGTCATTTATCTGCCCATCCTCTACCACAACCATCATATCCAGTTATCCTTTCAACTCTAAGTGTTAGCAGAAGCCCAGGAGCGCCTGAATGACTACCCAACATTGCTCTAAGGTGACAGAGAAACATTTGGAAATGGTGCTTCAGGTCTGGAAAAATAGCAAAAAGGAGAGGTAAAAGGAAAAAAGTAACTGAATTCATCAACAGCCCATGTGCCCTTACTGACAGAGCTTATCACATTTACGTTCCTCATGACAGATTGGTTCATGACCCATTCACCCCCCCCCACACACACACACACACAGAGAGAGAGAGAGAGAGAGAGAGAGACAGAGACAGAGACAGAGACAGAGACAGAGAGAACACTTAATCCCTGTATCATTGGCTGCCACTGGTTTTCTAAGAAGCTTAACAGGACATGTTCTGACTTCAACAATGACCCACTAATAGCTTTACATTTCTCCAAAGTATTACAAGCTCCTATCTCCTAATGAAATCAAGAAATCAAGGAGACAGCAGGAGAGTGAGCAAAGACAGAGCAGAGCCAAGGACACACTGGGACTCTGAGCTACAAATAATCACCTGCAGAGCAATGATCACACCTTAACTGCCACTTAGGAAAACAGAGCTGCTTCTCTCTGGGTGAAGCAAACTTCTTTCTCACTGTACTTGAAAAAGCATGACGTGCCCCATGTAGCTGTGATCTGGCCGAGGTTGAACATGTCCTCCTTTACGGGGAGGGTTGGTTCAGTGCCTTTCAGTTGACTGTCAGCTTATAGCATCTGATGTCCAGGTCCTTCCCAAGGCTATGCATGTGATCGGTCCTCCAAGAGAGCGGTTCAATGTTAGTTAATGCTTGGTTTGCCTTGATTGTATGTGGCTTGCTTTTTACATGTCTGTCCCTCTAGGTTACACTTTGGTACTTACTTCTGGGTATTGAGGCACTTGTATTGTCCTAATTTCCTTAGCTAAGTGACACATCCGGTGAGGGCTGCTGGCCACCGCCTTTTGTTCAAACTCCCTGGGTAGCTGCTTGCTACTATGAAAGTAAACAACAAAGGTTTGTAATATGACCCTACCTACTTCCCCTGTCCAGTTCCCCTTTCACCCCAGCTGTGTGTTATCCTGTCCACTTCCATCAGCATGAGACCTGGCTGACTGACACTCGATTCTGCCCCTACACCAGGGTAGCTCTCTATGTTGTCTCCCTGCCCTCTGCCCCTGTCTCCCACACTCACCCTTTCACTACTCCCGGCAGCCATAGTTTCTCATTGTCTTCATCCTCTGCACTGGACATCATAGTGAACTAGAGACCTGTAGACAGATTAGATACAGATACAGATTTGGGTTCTAATACAGATAATGATTAAAACTATAGTGGTCCTTAGTGAATCCCTTTTGTAAAATTTGGCTAGAAAAGAAAATGGGACCAGGGACCAAGGGCCAAGTCGCAAATGTTCCAAAAATTGACAGAATAAAAAAAAAAAAAGGTAAGGTGAAAGAAAAATAGCTATCTGAAAAATGAACCATCAAAGAGCGTGGACACATGCTCATCCTCAGACTTTGTCACTGTGTTATTTCATAGGGCAAAGGGACTTTGCAAACTCATTTGAAATTAAGGATGCTGAGACAGTCATGGTGGCATAAGTCCAGAACACTGGCAACATGGGAGTGAAGTCTGAGGCAGGAGGATCCCAGGTTCAAGTTCTCCGTGGGTTACAGAGTAAGTTCAATGCCAGCTGGGCAACTAAATAAAGAACTTTCCTTAAAATCAAAGCAGAAGCTGACGGCTGGAGATACAGGCCGGTGATGAGGTGCCTGCTGAGCATTGATGAGACCCTGGGTTCAATATCCAGTACTACAAAATAAATAAATGAAATTTAGGGTGAGGATATGGAGGTGTATCTGAGCTTGTATGTGGGGTTCAAAATAACGACATTACTCTGAAATCTTCTGAAATGTGAGCCAGGATAAACCCTTCTCTCCCAAGTTGCTTCATTTAGTATTCTAGTCATAATGGCATGAAAGTAATATAATCAGGGTGAGCGGAAAATAATGACAAAGGTAACTTGGAGATTAAAGTGTCATAAATAGAGTGACAACAGGGTGAGCATAAGCAGAAGTCAGAGAGGAGAGATATCGGGTCTATATGGAGAAGCCTGATCTGAGGGGGACAGTCCTACAGAATTAACACCTAGAGCACACTCAGGCTTCTCTGGGACAGTGTCAAAACACTTTAAACTTAGTTTTCAAATTGCCAGTATTTTTAAAGTCAATATAAAACATGGTCATCAGCTGTATAAAATTCGTCATCATTTCTCACTCTTTGGCGACTCCATTTATTTAGATGTTGAGCCATATTCAATTCCCCTCAGCCTGTATAGCTGATCATACGCTTCTCGAGGGTGGGGTGCCATTTTCGCTGCCTCCTCTATTTAATGAACTATTTCACAAGCTTGAAAATGTGATTAGTTTATTTATATTTAAGTAAAACATGCCACAAAAACTCACTAGCTTGCTCCCGGGAGCTTTGCATCATTGATGACAGATGAGGGAGGGGGTCTGCAACTTAATCTGATTTTATTCATCGTAAATATTCAAATCATGTATATTTGTTCCATAAAACAGTTGTTTAAATGGCTTTAATTTATTTTCAATTTTATTGTCTCAACCGTATTGTGCAAGGCAATTGTTGAAATAGTTTGGTAACATCTGATAAATGTTGATCTCTCTCTCTCTCTCTCTCTCTCTCTCTCTCTCTCTCTCTCTCCCTCTGTGTGGGTGGGGGGGGGGGGGGGAGGAGCGCTTACTCATGTCTCCATCCTTCTCAACTGAACTTCCTGGAGTTTCAATACTTTCCTAGCTTAGTTTCTACTGCTGTGATTAAACACTGACCACAGGCAAGTTGGTGTAGAAAGGGTTTCTTTTATCTTGCAGCTTACAATCTTCCATGAATGGACATCATGGCAAGAATTCCAGGCAGAGACTGAGGCAGAGGTGAAAGAGGGACTCAGCTTACTAGCTTGCTTCCGCTCACTTGTTCAGCTTGCTTTCTTATAAAAGCCAGGACCCCGGGGTGACGCTGCCCACATTAGGCTGGGCCCTCCAACATCAGTCATTAACCAATACATTGCCCTCATAGACTCACTTACAGGCCAATCTGACGGAAGCAATTCATCAGTTGAAGTTATCAGCTGAGGTTCCCCGGGGAAACTCTGGTTCATGTCAAGGTGACAAACACTGACCTGCAGTCCATCCTCACGATTTAAAGTGGTTGCTATCATGAGACCCACTCCCAGCAGAGTCCATGTACGGAGATGCTGAATCTCAACATTGTCAATAATTAGGGGGCTAACAACCTGCCTCTGGGAATCCTATGTTGTTGTATGCAAGGCTAAGTACTCATAGTAAACACTATACACATCTAATAACTTAGAGATTTGTTTTGATTCTTGAAATGAGGACTCAAAAGATCACAGACTAAGGGGAAGCCAGAAGCAGAAGTGAAGAGCTGCCTGAGGTCACTGTCACCTCAAGAATAACTGGAAAACTGTTATTTTAAAAAAAAATACTTATTTGTCGTTTGTGTACGTGTGGGAGCACTTGAGTATCAGCGTGCGTATGTGGAAATCAAAAGACAACTTTCAGGAGTCAGTTCTCTCCTTCCACCATGTGGGTCCCATCAGGCTTGGTAGCAGTCACCTTTACCTACCCACCCAAGCTGCCATTTTCGTGGACATAATCACAGATGACTGGTAGAGTCAATGGCAGCCTGTCTGCTACCTTTATCTCCAAGCTCCATCCAGCACTCATCCTTCCCTCCTCCATAACTCACTCAAGGTCCCTATCCCATGGACTGGGAAGATGGCTCCGTTGACGAAGTGCTCAATACATAAATAGACATATCTGAGCTCGCATGATAAGGCAGGGCATTGTGGCAAGTGGTTTCAATCCCAGTGCCAGGGAAGACACGGGCAAAGCCCTGAGGCCGGGTGGCCAGTCAAATTGGCATACTTACCAAGTTCAGGCCAATGGACTGACAGTTTTGGGATTCCTGTGTCTTTAAAAAATCATAAACAAGAGAGAGAGAACCGGTAGAGACCATATTCAGAGGTTAGCCACAGTCCCTGGTTGAGGGATTGGGCTACCCACCCATCTCAAAAATTTTAACCCAGAATTGCTTCTGTCTAAAGGAAATATGGGGACAATGAGTGGAGCAGAGACTGGAGGAAAGGCCATCCAGAGACTGCCCCACCTGGGGATCCATCCCATATGCAGACATCAAACCCAGACTCTATTGCTGATGCCAAGAAGTGCTTGCTGACAGGAGCCTGATATACCTGTCTCCTGAGAGGCTCTGCCAGAGCCTGACCAATACAGATGCAGATGCTTGCAGCCAACCATAGGACTGAGCACAAGGACCCCAATGGAGGAGTTAGAGGAAGTACTGGAGCTGACAGGGTTTGCAACCCCATAGGAAGAACAACAATATCAACTAAGTATAACCCCCAGAGCTCTGAGGGACTAAACCACCAACCAAAGAGTACATGGAGGAACCCATGGCTCCAGCCACATATGTAGCACAGGATGGTTTTGTCTGGCATTAATGGGAGGAGAGGCCCTTGGACCTGTGAAGGCTCGATGCCCAAGCATAGGGGAATGCTAGGGCAGTGAGGTGGAAATGGATGGGTGGGGGAGAGCACCCTCATAGAAGCAGGGGGAGGGGAATGGGTAGGGGGTATGCAGAGAGGAAACTGGAAAGGGGGATAACATTTGAAATGTAAATAAATAAAATAACAAATAGAAAAACATTTATCCCCTATTTTTTTTCTTTCTTATCTAGTGTTATGTTAGGGTTGAAGGGGTGGAGAAAGGGTGGAGAAGGATGGAAGAAAGAAGAGACTACAAAGTAGCGAACACCAGCTACAGGCTAATGAGAAATACATGTAAGGTGGATAATGTCAGTGAGGAATGACACCTAGGGTTATCTTCTGTTCTCCACACACATTGTAGACATTTGGAAATACATATATATAATCACACATACAAAGATTTCCCCTCTTTCGGCTTGCACTACCAACCACTGGTCTAGAACACTTAAGTGGTGGTCTACACCATTGTCTGACTCTTGGTTAACATTCTTATGTTACTTTTCTTCTGCTGTGACCAAAAACCTGAAAAAAAAAAACCCAAAGGAATGATATATGTTTGTTTATGGTATAAGACAGGAAGGGCAGATCCTTTACTGTCACAGTGAGACAATGGTGGGAGAGGTCATAGGCTATTCTTCAGGAGTGTCAGGATTCTTGCTCATAGCTCAGTGAACCAGGAAGCAAACAGTGAGCAGGAAGCAGGGCAGAGATGCTAACCTCAGTGCCCTCCCCCAGTGATCCACTTTTTCCAAAATGTGCCACTAGCTAGGGACCAAGTGCTTAAACACATGAGTCTGTGGCATCATTTTCATGTTCAAAGCTCAACAGTTTCCTTCTCAGGCTCTGATTCCTGTTGTTGGCTACCTGCAGGGACAACTGAGCCCAAGATCACAGGAGAGACACCCTGATATACCAGCTGAGCACAAAATGCATCCATCCCTGGACCATGGTCCATCCTCAGCCTGACTTATATCTAGCACTTAAAGCTAACTTTGTCTTTCAGGTGGTATTTTCTTCTTTTCTTTTTTTTTCTCCCTCTGGTCATCATTGTTAGAAACTCCAAGTGGCCAGGTGGCTGGAATAAATGAAATTTTAGTGGGACCCTGACTAGATCTTCCTTTGGAAGCCTTCTCCTTGTGGAGAACTGAACCGCCACAGAATCTCTCCTGGTAGAGGGCAGAAAGGCAGATCCCCACACAGGCCACTGCTGTGGAATGGTGATCATGATTGGTCCAATAGTCTTCCTTGGTTCTGTGGCCCATGTAGTCTCCCTCCCAGGAGCACAGACATCATTGACATCGTGTATGCACTGTGCCCTGCGGGATAAATGCTCATCCTCAAAGCTAACATTCCTGTCTCACTTTCCCTTCCATTGCTGAGATAGAATACTCTGACCAAAGCAATTTTAGGAAGAAAATGGTTACTGTTGGCTCACAGTTCCCAGTTGTAGTCTATCATTACAGGGAAATCAAGATGGCAGAACTGGAAGCAACTGGTCACATTAAGAGGAGAGAGCAATGAATTAATGCCTATAACCTGCTGCTCAGTGCCCCTACTTCTTTTTTTTTTTTTTTTTTTTTTGGTTTTTCAAGACAGGGTTTCTCTGTGTAGCCCTGGCTGTCCTGGAACTCACTCTGTAGACCAGGCTAGCCTCAAACTCTC